AAAAAAAAAAAAAAAAAAAAATTCGAATGAATCTTCCACTAGAACATGAAAATATTCCAATATACAATATTGTGTGTGTGAGCCTGTTGGGGGGGGAACCCCGCCCACACCTATCAATCAATCAATCAATCAATCAATCAATCCATTAATCAAAAAAAAAATAAAGCAAAATCGAATGAATCTTCTACTAGAACATGAAAATATACAATACTCTGTGTGTGTGTGTGTGTGTGTGGGCCTGTTGGGGATGGGGGGCCGACCCTGCCCACGCCTATCAATCAATCAATCAATCAATCAGAAAAAATAAAAATAAAAAAAGCAAAATCGAATGAATCTTCCGCTAGAACATGGAAATATACAATCCTACCTATGTGTGTGTGTGTGTGTGCACCTGTGGGGCCAATCAATCAATCAATCAATTAGTCAATCAACGAAAAAAAAAAAAAAAAAAAGCGTTGTGTTGTAGCAGACCGCTGGTTGGCCTGTGAGACCAGCCCCTTGGCCTGTTCTCACAGGCCTGTGTTCTATTCGGGGCAGTCCAGTCGAGTCCAGGCCGGTACCTCTGTCGATTCCAGCCAGTCCGGTCCAGTCCAGTCAGTCCGCTGGGGTATACCCCAGCAGTTGTCTCTTTCGTCCTCATTCTTCACTTGCACATTTTGGAGTACGTGAGTTGGAGTCTAGCGTGGGGAGCTACGTTGTGCCATCTCGCTCCCCCCTTCTTCCTCCATCTCCATGTCTACCACTAGTAGAGCACCACACCTGGTGGGTCCGCTACATTGGTATCGGAGCGAGAACGTTTCCCGCTCCCACCCACCACACCGCACAGCAGGGAAAAACAGAAAAACCCGACAGTCGGGTTTTTGATTGTTTTTCGGGCGTTTTCGGGCGAAAAAGCGGGAAAAAGACAGCAGGAGAGCAACACGTGGCGAAAAAGGGGAAGCCGTCACGAATTGCACGCACGCGCCACGTGCCCACGCTGCCCCGCCCCGCCCCGCTCCCGGATTTATATTATCAAGATCCGGGATGCAACTGTTGCTGTTGGGGTTTGAACCGAGGCAGCTGCTGGCCTTGCGCGTGCGTATACCACTGCCATAACACACTCGCCACAAAGTGTCTATGGCCTTATAGCACGGCACCTCGTGTTGAAGAGGTGTCGTGCTGGCTATTTACCCCCCCCCGCAGCAGCGAGCAGCGGCCAGCGAGGCAACGACGGGAGAGGCTGCTATTTACCCCTCCCCCCCCCTTCCCTTGTGGCTGTTGCTGCCTGTGCACGTGGCCACCTGCAGTGCCACGTGGCACTTTGCTATGGACTTGAGGACCCCCTGTGTTTCAGGGGCTGCTCTACACCGGTGAGGGTATGCTCACACAGCATACCCTAGGTCTGCAGATTTGCAGTAGGGGCTGATCAATATCTCAACCCCCCCTCCCTCCTCCAGCTGGCTGCTGCAGCGAAGGCCAAGACCCTCTTGGTCTTGGTGTACCTTGTGCCCTTGGAGACACCAAGGGCCAGGTATCTTTTCTCTCTCCCCCCCCTCCTCTACTAACCCACTCTCCATACCTCTCTCTCTCTCTCCTCTTACTCATACCCCTCCCCCCACCCCACCTTTTCTCCCACCACTCATTCTTTTACTCTATTTACTTCATCTCTTCTTTTCTTTCCTCTTTTTCTCCTTGCTTCTTGATCCCTCTCCACCTTTCCCCAACCCTCTTCTCCCCCAACTACCACCACATCATCCCCCCCACCCCCCMCTTCATCTTTTTCTCTCTCCCACCTATTT